TAATATATATATATATAAAATGCCTTTTTTGTTCTATCGTTGGCTCGCTGCTTGAACAAAGAACAAAATCCGACATCTGGCATCTTTGCAAAAAGAGAAGATAGAGAGTTTTGTAAAGCAGAGTCTGATTTAATATATAAATTAAAGAGAAACGTCTTCGAAGGGAACTGCAGAATAAGCTGCCGCCGGAATTAGCCAGTTTCCGAGAGTTTCGGAGTAGCGGCCGTTGCAGCGCGCTCGCGAATTAGCATCTTCCACATTTTACGATTTTAACGCTGGTTTATCCGCGCCGGATGAAGGATTATCGCGCATTCGAACGCCCGTGAGAATCTCGCCGTAAGGTCGCAACATAATACGTCCCTTTGTAAGGTGGCTGATCCAGCCTTATCGTCAGAAACTGTAGGCTGTGCCCGAGCGGAGCGGGAGCTTCGAGACGGGAAGTTTCGAGTCCCGTCCACTTTGCAGGATGATAGATGGACGATCTCCTCCTCCTTCTCTCTCTGCTTTCTCCTTTTTTTTCTCCTCTTTTCTTTTTTGCTCCCTGCCGGCTTCTCTTGTCTCTCTTTTTCTGTCTCGGCTCTTTCTCTCTCTTTCCACTCTTTCTGAACCCCGCCACCTTGTCATTCACAACGCGAGGAGGAGGAGGAGGAGGAGGAGGCTCGCGCACTTTTCGACCGCGCGCGGCTGGCAGCTGCCGAGAACACCAGGAACCTTCGAACGGAAACGGTTCGTGCCCACTCGATCGCGATAAAGGCATGATATCGCCGCTCGTCAGCCTGGCCTGTCTCTATTTTGTTTTTCTCTGCAACCGTAGTGGTACCGCGTCGTACCGCGTTTGATTGAGATTCCGGATCGAAAAGAATCTTATGGCGCGCGTTCAGAGGAAAAGCAACAAGCGAACGAATGGACGAGAGACGGGACGGCGTAATCACTGGATCGGAATTTCTTATGACATCAAGGTGGCTCTTCTCGTTAGCGCGAGGCGAAGCGTATGTCGGATACGGAGAAAACCAGTCATGTCGCTGAGAAGAGGTCGGCTCGTTCTCGATGGATAGCTTATGGATGAGCATAATTTGTGTATACGGAACGGTCCCCGCGACGACTACGTGTTCTTTCGATACTATCGCTTTCTGAGATCACACACAGCTGTGGCCACAAGTACTCTATACTCAGAAATAACTTCGATAAATTGTAACAAGTAAAACCGGTTAGTGATACGCACAAATAAAAAATTGTAGTAACTTCTTTGAGCATTTCATTGATAATTATTTCTTGGTAATGGTTAAAAAATAATTTATTTCTAGCATTCCAAAAATACCGGTGCACGTGACTGGTTTCGACTCGCCATGTTTTATTAAAGATTCATGTATAACGCGAAGCACTCTGATTTTATCATCTCTGAGTAATGACTTCATCGATCTCTGTGCCTGGCAAATGTCTAAAATCCTACAATCCCCGTCTTATTCGTTTCACCTTCACCGTTACTGAATCAGGTCTCGCTAATAAGACAGTCGGCCAGCGATAAGCGCGTACTCAAGCAGTTGGTCACGTAAGATAGGAAATACTTCGGTGAGTCGCGTGCACAGAGGCGAATGTAAGCTGAAGGCGTTGGAACAATGGTGGGCATCAGAACGTTGCATATCGAGCGATCGCCTTTAAGAAGCTAAAGCCTGGGGTGAAAAGTCGCGTATGCAGCGGCACGTACATTCGATCGAAGAGTCTCGTGTGGCAGGTTATACAAGCCTCCAGTTTACTCCCCCCTCGCAATACATACATACATACGATGGATATGTAGGCCGTCGTCTGAAAAGTTTATACGATATAAACCTTCTTCTCTTGTCGTCGCGTTTGACAATAATGAAAGAGAGAGAGAGAGAGAGAGAGAGAGAGAGAGAGAGGGGCAGAAACGAAATGCGGAGGGCGCAATGCACGTGCGTATTATGCGTGTCTGGAATCTGACATTCGGACTGATCTCACGTGTAATTATTCTCCCGAGATTTCGCTTACCGAGAAACTCGCGATCCCCTCGCGTGCGAAATACCGGCGCGGATGTTGCTACGATATTGCAAACTTTCATGACGTTGTAGACTCGTTGCAACATCGTTCGTATCTCGCAATGCCGCTACGCCATTTACCCGCGCACGTTATGTACCGTATACCGCTGACAGAACGCATAAATCCCGCGGCATAATACGCTCGCGGCTCTTAACGAATTCTTACGCTCGTCGATATCTCGCTACAGCGATGAAATAATTCAAATTCGCAATATCACCGCAATTACGCCCGTCAAACCTGTTAGTGAGACGTTAATACATAACGCAAATGGTCATGAATGTCGGTAGATATTTATCCGTAATGTTGCGTAAATAAAGTCTGATTGTCGACAAATCTATTTAGAAATGACGCATTCTCCGATCAATTTGTAATAACAATAGTAATGGTCTTTCGTACTCACAGCCGTTTTAAATTCATCATATTGCTGAAGAGAAGATCGGGCAAATGACGTATTTGATTATTGTTTAACCGTAGTTTTTCCACCGCCACCAAATCTTGGAAAGCCCCTCTTTCGATGGTGTGTATTTGATTGTTTGATAGTAACCTGTAAATTAAAAATATATTTCCGTATGATATGCAATATCAATAAAAAAGAATTATTGTAATATTATAATAATCAACACGATTCTATACATTGTCTAATATAGATTAATATCAAAGTACGATATAAAAGTTAATACGTGACTATTATATAATTTTAACATAGTTGAAACTCTTAATTACATTCTAGATATTATTATTTTAAATGCAATTAAGGAGAACTATTGTATAAAAAAATTAATGCAATTTAATAAAATATATTCGTTATTTACACTAGCAATAACATTAGAAGTATTAAGCAATCATTGTCGATAGTGTTTATTTTTTAGATTAATATTATACATATATCTTTTGCAAAAAATGATTCTGATTTTGACTTTTCAATAATTATGTAGATACTTTATATTGATGAAATATTTAATTTTTCATTACTTTCTTTTATTTTCATAGTAATTTATTTGCTTAATTTTTTTTAAGTGCAGAATAAAAAATGATTACACTTGTAGTGCTAATTTTAAATTAAGAGAATCAAGAATATTTCTACTTACAAAACATGGAGCGTTGCCATGTCTTCAAAATCGGTCTTGAATATCACCGATACGTTATTTTCTTGAAGATCTCTGCAACAAGAAGAACAAAATAGATGTTAATATTTCAGTTCTTAACAGTAAAGTAAAAAATAATAAATTAGTAACTCGATTAAACATTCATTCATCGATAAATTATATAATAATCCGACAAGTAGAATAAACATATTATTTCACGTGTAATTATATATTGTGTATTGTGCAGATAAATGTACTTAAAAAACTTTTGTTCCTAATGTGTAATGTGATTTCATGCCACAAGATTCGTTGGCACACAATTCTATCGATTCAGCGAATGTTAGTTGTACCCACCCTTGACGCGAAATAAAAGCTGAACAATCAGCGAGGAGTGAGAATGACGAGCGCGGTATCGCCGTTCTGCCAATAAAGGGTTATACCACTCCGTTACGAAGAAGCGTGAATTTACTCTTCATGTCGAAAAAGGAGAAGACTGTGAAGTAGCCGTCAAACACAGCCGTACGCCAAGCGTCTGCCTCCCTCGAGGAAGTTATTAAGGCCTTATTAAATTGGTTCCTTTTCCCGTGGAAACTTTTTACCTGACAAAAAGCTCGGGGTAAGAGCGAGTAACAAAGTCAGCCTACGAGCGCTTTCTCCTCTCAACGCAGATTTCTCCTTTCTAGCCCGACAACCGGCGTAAATTATTCCCTCGTTTTCGTCTACTGACGTGTAATTCTTCGCCGACGACAAAATGACGGAGTTATATTTCCGGAATCCACATCTTGCACACAGGATAAGCTTGTACGGACACTCGATAAAATGTGATTTTTTTCCAAATCATTTGTCGCCAGAGTAGAGTTCTGTTCTTATAGACGGACAATTAAAAATTCATATTATTCTATAAATTTTCTGATCACATAATTCTTATATGACATTCTACCTTATTTTATTTCAATAAATATATTTTTATTAAATTAATTTAATTTTGTGATTACTTACATATATTATATAGAATTTCGCGAATAAATATACTTGTAAATGGATATTTATTAAATATAATGTGACAAGCAACAATAATTTGAGAAATTCTCGCAAAGATATTTCAAAAAGTAAAGTTTGCTAAAAGTAGAAAAATCACTTCCGCTGAGTCGGTTGCGAGCTAGTTAATTATACTACCCCACGGTAATGACTATGAATACTTCCCGCTAACTCTATTAAGATATTAAGCGCCGTCCTTAATACGTTGCAGGTAATATCTAATTACGAATCATTATACTTGAAGGAAGCTGAAAATACCTCCCACGAGAGGAGCATGGCCAATCGCATTATGGAATCGAGGCCCATCGAACCTCGACGCATAATCCACTTTATCGCCGATTCGATTAATTCTCGACGGGATAAAACGGTGACGGCTACCCAGCGTCTAACGAGAGCTTTAGAAGCTACCTAACGAACGATGTCACTTTTCCTGTTATCGCTGTCACTACTTCCCATGGTTCTTTTGTCGAACGACGAACGTCATTATGATGAACAAACAATGTCATCGCTAGAATAGCATTGTAATAATTTAGCTTCGGTTTTTACACTACATAAAGATATAAAGATAGATGATTAAAACTATTTTTACAATATTCATTATAAACTTTTTCAATTTATAAAATAGTTTATGTTGTCTTTTTTTTTTAAACTCGTTTTGTAATAACGCGATCTCATTTTATCATCTTCTATGATGATCGAATGCAAGCACAACAGAAGTTTAAACCGCGTTGCCTTTTCCTCATAATTACCGCGATCATTCAAAGTCGTTGACGACATCCTCCATGGCGAAATATCGTTGGTTCATGAACCAACCGCCAACTCGTAGAATAAGACAGAAACTTGGCGTGTGCCGTTTGCACGACGGATTTGCGCTTCTAGGAACGTTAATGTAGCCTTTCGCGAAGACTCCGTCATCTTATGCGGTGTTACGCTCAATTAAAATAGCGCGGCGTCTTCTCGGAAAGTAATAACGGCAATCGTTCGGGTAATCGTTTGTATGAAAAACCTTTGCCCAGCGAACTGAATGGAGAAGTATCTGAACGATGTAAAGGATCGATATCGCTTAAAGCGATAATTTTGATTCGTCATTGTAACGAGACAAAATTTCGCAATATGTTTATTGTGTTTATTCTGTAAATATCCGCGTTGTTCTATCGATAAAGGAATATTTGCCAGATGTCACTTAAAGTCAATGTTAATTTACGTACCTTTCTCGAGGCAAAGTAAAACAACCGTTTCTTTTTCTTTCGCACAATGTATACACGAACTGCGATAGTCATTTAAAATTATAGTGTCTACGTAATTAGAGTTTAATAGTGTAATTAAAAAACCTTTGAAGTAGAGCATGGAAAATCCATTTAAAATACAACGATAAATTGATGCAGTTTCGAATTGCTAAATAAAATAGGATTGCATGGCAATACATGATGGCACAAAGGTCATTAAGTGGCTCGTGTGGTAAATTAGGTGTCGTCAATAAAATGAATTCTGAATCATTAAATAAAGATAAATTATTGTCTCAAATATCCAAACAATGATGAGAGTAATATACTGTGAATGATGAGAGTTATATACTGAAAAAAGAGTCTGATTGCAATTTGGAATTCTGGTTAAAAATAGACAAACCAAACTTTTCTGGTTGAATGTATCATAATTCGAGTTGAGATAATCAGAATTCTGATTGATATGATCAGAATTTTCTTCAGTTCGTTCATTTTCAACAAGAAATTTTTCTCTGTGTAGAGTTCGATCGAACAAAAATGGAATACCTATATATAATTACGATTTAAGAAAGAAATTAAATAAGTCCGACATGCTGATAGATCTACAGCTGCAACGATGACTGACTATCGACTATTTTTACAATTTGAATTATAAATCTCATTATTGATTCGATTCTATCATCAGAAGTCCAATAGCATCCTGGAAGGCGCAATTTTCATCTTGCACTTTTGCTAGGCGACTCACGTAGCAGCTAACGAAATTACATTTCGCGTCGCCAACCGGGACATTCGCTAAATACGTTTCCATGGGTTTTCGCAAAGGAGGGAGCAGAAGAGACGCGAGATGGGAGGAAGAGTGCTTGACGGTGGTAAATCTGATGGGACGGACGATGGTGAGAATCTGAAGGAATAGAAGGGGCAGTCAGAGTGTGACGGGTTTGGTAGACAACGTCCAAGAATAAGGTGTTGGTGATGCGTGTCTATATTTGAGTTGCGGTGGGATGAGAAGACAGGGGAGACGAGAGAGGGAGGATAGGCTGCTGGCAGATGTAATCAAAGTTTGCAGACAACCGCCCCGAACGAGAGCTTCTGCGAGGAACACCAGGGGAAGGAATACAGGGGATACCGCTGTGGGATCGACCGGATATCCGGTCGTATCTCACACGCGGCACTGCGCGTCGCGGTGTGTCGATACGCCTGCTTAATGTCGTAGAAATGTCTCCGGCTGAGATAAGGGAGAGAATCGAGCCGCGACAAGGTGAGACGAGTCTATGGGGAGGATCGGGTACTGGTGGTGCGAGTCTCGATTTTCTCGCGAGCAGAGCTGTTCGCTCCGTCTTCCCGCCGGGGATCTGGGAATCGAATGATTTATGGGTAGTGATTATATTCAGACTTCGCGTGCGCCCGTACTGGTATCACGTGCTTGTACGTGTAACTGCTAGGAAATATCGCGACGTAATCCTCCATTTACCATACGCGCGCCGGATGTTTGGTAGATGCAAAGTAATTCATCGATCGCGACGTAATATTGACAGTTAACGATGATAGTTTGCCACGAGCGAAGTCTTATTAGTTTTCAATTTCAATTTATCTGATTCAGTTTGATTATATCATTATCAATGATATTTATGCTAAGGAAATCATTAATACGTGCGCTATCATGCACTTTTATACGCACAACTTGTAATTATGACTTCAATTTAGAATATAAAATATGGAATTTAAAAAAATGTAGTATTTATAATATAGGAATTATTTAAAACATTTAATTAATTTCTTTAATATATTCCAGATATACATAATTGCACCACAATGAATGAAACTAAATAATATTTAAAAATATAACTTGTTTGTGGTAAATGTTTTTTTTTTAAATATGATTATGCTGGCAGAAATGTCAGAAGTTAAATTAAACCAAATTAGAATAAAATTAAGCTTTTTTTAATTTGTTTTGATTTTAACCTTTATATAACAGCATTAAAAATATTGATAATAGAAAGAGAGAGAGAGAGGGGGAGGGGAGAGAGAAAGAGAGAGAGAGAGAGAGAAATTCTGTTTCTTTCTCTATTATTACAGTCTGATTGACATAGTGTAATATGAAAGTTCGCGCAATTCTCAATCCACGCGCGATAGAGTGCTTTATTTTGTTTACGTCGTATAATTTTTATATGAAGTTACGAATCTGGAGCGTAATAACGCACACCTTGTGACAATAATATCCAATTTATTTTCTCGTGGAAATATGGTCTTCATACGATAGATCGTATTTTAGATTTCCAGCACATTCGCAGCGCTTGAAATCGCAAGAGATCCGGATAAGTTGAAAATAACATTTAGAGTAACCGTTCGTTTTTGTGATTGGACCTTTGCTCCACCTCATAAAAATTTCACAGCGAGCAGAATGAAAAGCGCACCGAGACAGTTGTACAGCGAAAATATCGTATCAGATAAGAAAGAGAGCCACCGCTCTCGGAGAGAAAATATAGTCTTCTGCATGTCAGCAGCAGAAATGCAAGTGGAATCTCTTGATTAAGTTTACTGGCGAAGCATCGACTTGATGTCTCTGGACTGGCGAAGATGAAAAAAGGCGAACGGGCATCGTATCAATTTGACATATCGACGGCTTTTCGCTCGACTCGCTATTCTCGTATAAACGTGACAAATGGAACGGAAAGAATGTAATCGCCATAGTGTATGTATATTTCATAAGTAAACAATTGGGCAACTTACAAAAGCTTGTACTTCAAAATTTATAGACGTCACTTGTACTTCAAAATTTATCTTCTATATTTTGTTGAATTAAAAGCATATAAT